AGCACGCGTCCACCTCCTGGGAGAGGAGGGGTTCTGCTGTCGCGGTTTAGTTTGTTTTGCTTTCACAAAGCAGGAGTTCAGCCCCGAGTTTCCTTCACTCTTGATCCATTCCATCAGGAACATGAGGGCAGACCGCATGCAGGGAGAGAGCTACACAACAGAGATTCCAGAACCGGAGCTGCTGCCGTCCCAGTGGAGTCCTCTGCTTTAAAGCGCTTCTTGAAGCACACATCTCTCTCCACCAAGGACCACACAGAAACCATAATGTGGTTGAGTCCCCTTCCACCAAACACCCTAAAACATGGAGGCCTCTGGGCCCACTTAGGCTCCTGGAAGACCCCTTCTGAGATGACTTGGCACCTGGGGGACCCAAGGCCTGGGAACCTTGGGTCAGGCACAGAGGCCAAGTGGCCTCAACAGCCGGCAGCTGACCACTCAGGGCTGGCTTAGCGAGCAGGAGCAGGGGCCGCATTCACAAGCACGAAACCTCGCTGGTGGCACCGGGCACACAGCCCTTCCTGTCGCCAGACAAGACTTCCTCGACATCGCTTGCCTACTAAGAAGCACGGCGTTTCATTCAACTAATCCGGTGTGGATATGGTAGCTCTCATTTCTATAGAGATGCGAGGTTTTCGGCACTGGAAGGAGCCCCAGCAGCTGGACCCTGAATCCTCCACACAGCACACAGAGCAGCCAGACGCCAGAAAGAAATGACAGCAGCTGGAAAGGAAATGACAGTCAAGGCAACAGCCTTGCTGTTCCCCATCCACGTCGACCCGTCCTTTGTTTTGCAATCTTTTTACCCCATTTTTAATGGATGCCATGTTCACGTGTTGTTATATAAAGATAACAAGCCATCGGAAACTCTTGTCTTGAATAAGGAGAGAGGCAATGAAATACGAGAAATGGAATGAACTGAAAGGAACTGAAAGGAAATGAATGGCGAGCTGCCAACTGACAAAGGTGGGAACTCGGAGACCACTGTGACGCTCCCGTGCCTCTCACCTGGGGCCTCTGGGCTCTAGGCAGAAGCAACAACGTCATGGACTTTACCAAGCAAAGAACCAATGTCAGAACTCCCTAGGGTGCCAAAAACACAGCACAAAACGAAAATGTACATTCCCAGGCCCCCACTGACTCAGTCTTGGGGGGGCAGGATCCTGAATCTGTACCTTCCCCAGGTAACTTGAGCTCAATGCAGCATGAGCACCATCACCCTATAAGGTAAGAGCCCAGCCTCTGCCATGTGCCGGCAGCTGCCCGAGGCTGACAGACTCTCTCCTCCCCACGGCCAGGCCCCACAGGTTGAGCACATGGTCTCCCTCGCCTCTGCCAACAGCACCTGCATAGCCTGGAAGCCACAGCTGCAGGGTGCCCTCCCTCCTGACCCCTTGTTGACAGTCCTCCTCTTCCCATTCCCCTTCCCTGCTCAGGGCCCCCAGGGCCTTGCAGAAGTCCCATGCCAGCACAGGGACACTGTGGGGGGCTCAAGTGGCTCCCGGGTTAGTCACCCCCACTGGTCTGCCAGCTCCATCAACAGCCTCATCGTGGTCTTCACTGAGCAGCAGACTAGGCCAGTGCATAGCGAGTAAATGTTTGTTGAACAAACAGATGGATCTTTATTACTTTCCTCCAGGGACTCACTCACCCTGTCCTGCTCCCCAACCCCAACACACAGCCTGTGACAAAATGAGGCCCCGTGGGGCCCCCAGCTGGACTGCAGTTCGGGAACTGTGTGCTTCTGGCTAGGCATTTCCATGTCTCTGAGCCTGGCTCCTACAGCAGCCTCTCTCTGTAATCAAAACAGGACTCATACTATGAGTCTTAGCTTAAACACCGCCTTCTCTAGGAAGCCTTCTTTGATTTCCTCCTCTTCATTCCACATACATTTCTTAAGTGTCTGCACGCTTGCTTGCTTACTGACTGCTGGGAATCGCCTTGCTGCTTCCCTCCTCTGGGCTTTTTTGATGCCTCCTGTTTTACTCCTATGTCTTTGAAATTACATATCACACACATGCAACACATATGCACATAAATACAGCATACACATGCGCACACACACACCCTCCAACAGACAAGTGAGGACTGAGTCTTGCTCATTAGTCCAGAAATGTACAGGAAAAAGCTTCTCAGAAAGGTTTGTTGAATGAAAAAAGCATCGAAGAAAACCAGGCTCACAGCAGGAGAACCGGGGTAAGTCCAAGGATGGAAAGCTAACAGCCTAAGCACGGTGGCTTCTCTTTCCCATGCCCTTACTAGTGACAAAATCAAGGTCCACAGTTTTAAATGTCACAGCTGGGAAGCACAGCCAGGTGCATCTGGCTTGGGAGCCCACACCCTGCCCCCCAACTTCCCCCTCCTCAGCCCACCTGCAAATGGAGTGGCAGGGTCTGGAGCTGGCCTCCCCAGGGCTCTATGCTAACCATAGCGAGGCTCCGCACGCCAGTCATGCCAGCTGCCTGGGACCCACAGGGGCGTCCAGGGCCGCTGAGGGATCAGAGTAAGAGGAACAGCTTCAGCACAGCGCTGGCATTCGGCCTGCCCAGAGTCCATCAGCACAGTGCTGGAATTCAGCCTGCCTAGATTCCAACGTCCAGTTCTACCTCTGACTCGCTGCGTGACCTTGGGCATGTTATTTCACTTCTCTGTGCCTCAGTTTCCTCACTGGTAAAATGGAAAGAACAAGAATCATGTCTATATTATGAGAGCGTCGTGCCATTTAAATGAGCTGATACTTGTGCCAGCTCCACAAAGCCAGAGGCAGAGAGCCTGCACTGCACGCTGGGCGGTGACCATGTCGGCCACCACGTGTCAAGCAGCACGGTTCCACCGCTCTCTAATCCTCTGCCTATTTCATCCCCACCACCAGCCTCTAAGGAAGTATTCATATCCGCATGGGCAGAGGAGAAATCAGAGGTGGCTTGACTTGCCCAGGGTCACCCAGGTCATGAGGGGTTTGGAGCAAGGCTCCAGGCTCCACAGTTGTCACATGGCTCTGCCTTCTGCAGGTCGGAATTACACAGCCAGAGCCAGGTCCCCCGAGGAAGCTGCCCGGAGCTCCCATTCCCCAGGTGGACTGTCTGGGAAGAACCACCGCCCACTGAGCTTGTGGGAGTGAAGGCCTGTGCGAGGTGGTGGGGGAAGGGCGAGCTGGACAGAAAGCCCCAGGTAATGTAAATGGAAACTCTAACCGACAGCCCTGCACCTGGTGTTTTTGCATTTCCCAAGCCAGCTGAAGGGATTGTGTGTGCAGCTCTGAGCTCACTCCCAGGCCCAGGTCAGGTGCGGCCTGGAGGAAGCGAGCCCCGCCCACGTCGTGGGACAGCTGGCCTCCGCCTCCAAGCCACTTCACGTCCCAGCCTGGGAATTCTGCGATGGTGCTTGTTTAAACCCTGTCCCTTGGGTGACCTGGCAAACACCTGGGTGTCTCCCTGACCTCAGCTCTAAACCAGTCATTCCCAGCCAAAGCAGGAGAGCTCTCTCAGCTCCAGGGAGGAAGGGGTGATGCCTGATCACCCCACAGACATGTGAGGGAGTAGAGGGAGGCGCACGGCCACTTGTCCAGCTGCAAACTGCAAAGGTCACATCCACATATTCTCTTCCCTGAAGCCCCTACACATCACTGGGACAGGAGCCTGTGTCATTCTCTCGAATGACAAATATGCGGGTAGTCTACCCCCAAAATACAGCAATCACAAGGAAAGCGGGGCTCCTAGAGCAGAAAGAATTTGCCCAAAGTCACAAACGACTGGCAGAACAGGACTCGGCCAGGTCTGAACCCAAGGCTCTGGCACTTTCGCTGAGCCTATCTGTACAGGAACTGCAGCTGCTGCCTTTTAGGGAAACCAGCCCCAACATGTGAGCAGGCATCGGCCACCATCTAGGGCCGGCAGCAGAGCACAAGCCAGGCACTGGGGAAACCCCAGGCACACAGGAGCTAGGGTCCCTGGCCTTGAATTACAATAAGTAGGTGAGCTGGGCAAACCGTGTGCAGAAGACCAGAGCCAGCCCCAGCTGTGTGCAGACGGACAGGCTGAGTGTCAGGGACACGGAAGCAGGAGGAGGCATGCAGCCAGCAGGTGCCAGTCTGAGAATGCTGATGCCCACCCCAGGTTCTGGAGAGGACCTGTGTCCAGGGAGGAGGGCAGGCAGCCAGTCTTGCCCTCAGCTAAGACAAGGCTCTAAAACACGGCTACGGGGGGACATCAGCCGGGAGGCCTCCCAGCCCTCATTGGGCAAAGAGCACCTTTCACAGACACAAACACATGAGCAAGCTGGGCAGAAAGTAGGCCTGTGACTCACAGACTTCTGCGTCCCTGCAGACACAGTGTGCATGCGGGGAGGCATTTGGAGGCACCTCCCACACAGGTGGGCTGGTCTAGGGTGCCCTGAACTGCATCCACTCCCCACAGTAGTCTGAGCCCTCTCCCCACCACCAGAAAAGGCACAGCAGGCAGTGCGATGGGTTTCATCCATCCACCGCTTCCCCAGAATAGACTTCCACCCGAGGGCTCTTCCCGTGCAGGAGGCTGCTGAACTGAGCTGGCTTGGATCCACGCACCCTCCTGTTAGAACCCTTCCGAGGTGCCTCTGGGAGCCAGATCATGTACTGACAACTCTTCCCAGTAGCAGAAAGTTCAAGAGCTAAAAAGGCAAATATAGGCCCGATGTTGGCCAAGGGACTTAGTGGTTGATAAGAAATGATCTCCGATTCAACTCCCAGCTGAGCTCAGCCAATCATCTGACTGTCTCTTCCAACCTGTCCCCTGAATTGTGTGTCCCACAGGCCCCAGTTTCTTGGGGTCTGAAGGGTGCCCTCGCCCCGAGCATCAGGTCCCTGTGGTCCAGGTCCAGTCTCCAGTGGATCCCTAGTCCCAATGAGGTTCTCAAAAGAGGAGGCGCTTTGCTTGGAGAGCAGCGTGAGCCTGCGTTGCCAGCACCCCTCCATCACCCAGTGCACCGCCAGGGGTGGCACCCACAGAGGAAACAGGCCCGTGACACAAAAGCCCCAACAAAACCAACACTGGGTGGGCTATTTTTATCCTCCTAAAGATTTGTCGCAAAGACCACAGCAACTAAAGGGCATCCCAGGCTTTGAGCAGAGCTCTCTGTAGCTCTCACTCCCACGCTCAGTCCCCTCCCTCCCCCAGCCACCCCACCCCCGCCCCCAGCAACTGAGAAAGTGGATCAGGTCAAAGCGGAGCATTCCTCATTCTGCCATCTCCACGGGAAAACTAATTAGTCGCCAAATATTCAGAATGGGTAATTGCTACCTGAATTAATAAGAGCAAACAGCTGGCAAGAAAACAGTGGTTTACTATTTCTGTGTGCTTACCTCTCTTAACCCAGAGTCCAGGCTCGCAGGAATAGACCCGCTTGCGGCATGAGGCACAACTCCCACCGGGGCTGCCGAAAGGGGGGACACAGCCCTCGAGGGCAGCTCCTGCCCTGGGGGCAGCTGAACGCTGCTGTAGCAAAGTTACCCTCTGTTTCCTCTTGCACACACAAAACACACACACATGCACAGACACGCACAGGCACACATCACACAAATACACACATGCACGAACACATGTGCACATACATGCACATCACAAACAAGTGAGCACACACCAGCTACACCCTGCACACGTGCACACATACCACACATTCACACTATACATGCATGCACACACCGTCCGCACCCACAGTGCACACACTCCATACACACACCACACACCATCCATACACACACCACACATGTGCGTGCACACAGTCACATGCCACATACACCTAACCACACACACAAAGTACACGTGCACACACACAACACACTCACACCATACACACACTGACACCCCAGGAACATCCAAGGGTTCCAAGAAGAATGTACCAAACCAGGATTCTCACCCAGGGTTCTCAGCAAGTCCCCCCAAGTTCCTTAGCTCTGGCAAGGGGGCATTTAGAACAAATCAAGAGTGTAGGCAGAGGAGGGAGAAACTGAGGGAAAGGAAAATGAGATCACGCTTAAGAGGAGACAGACAGCCAGGAAGGCTGGGAAGACACTGGCCACAGCCCCAGTCTCCCCTCCCCCACTTCCCTGAGGCACAGACACTTCAGATGCACCTCCAGAGAGGCCCTCAGCCCCAGCCCAATCACTACCATGCTATGCTGTCTGACCTTAGACAAATCACTTCACCTCTCTGAGCCTAGGCTTCTGCAGATGTAAAAATGAGATGATCCCATGCAATCATTTAAACAGTTTGAAGGCGATGCCTTTCCAGAGGTTTCAGTTCAAGTTTGGGGTCATCGCAGTTACCCCATGCCTTTCAGCCCCTGCCCCATCCCTCCCGAAGCACTTACCTTATTTGAATGAATGCTGATGACTCCACCGCCAGGACTTCCCCTTGAGCGGTCAGCCACAAGTCACTTCCTCTGGGGACAGCCATGACTCTCTGGAGCACCCCCAACCCCATGTCACAGGCAGCTTGGCCCAGAGAACTCCAGCTGGGAAACTGCCGTCCAGTCCACACAGGGAATCAGGCTCTGCATCTGGGTGGGTGGCTTGTGCGGCATCTGCCTCTACGGGAAGCTGTGATGGAAAATTAAGTGGGCTGACATTGTGCACACAATGTTTTATTTAACAGCGTGTTGTAAGGAGTACTCACGTCTGTACAGAGAGCTGCCTCATTTTTTTTCTAATGATCATACAATAATTCTATTAAAGGTCTCCATCATAGTCTATTCTACCGAATACCTTTTGAGGAACATGTTTGGTATTTCCAGTCTTTGACCTTTACAAATGCTTCTGTGGCGTATATGCTTATACGTGCTCATTTTGTATCAACAGAAAGTCCTGTGTGTATAGATATCTCTATATATCTTTAAAGATTCCTATTTGCATAGAAGAATACTACACACCAAGTTATTCACCTTGGTTACTTCTGAGAGATGATTAGGGAAGAAAACACCTTAAACTTTTTATAAGCAAGTATTGTTTTATAATTTTAAAAAAGGAATGAGTAAGGGAGAAAAATCAAATGATGTCACTCTTGTTAAATCTCTTAGAAGTGTTTTTATGAGCTGGATTGAAGCTGGTAGAAGTGGGCCACACAAACACAGTGAGGAAAGCAAGGTTCCAGTGTCGGCTGGAGGGACCGAGAGCCACTCCCTCTCCGGGAGGTCGGCTCCCCTCAGCTTCCAATCTTGGCTCTCTGCACTGACCGGAGTGCCCTGGCTGGTGCTCCCACCTCAAAGGACTCAGTTTCCCTTTGTATAAAATGGCAAGGGTAGGACCAGCAGCCGGGAGAGCTGCAGTGAGACCAAGTGAGCTAACGCGTGGGAACTGCAGATGGGCTGTCATCAGCACCCCTGTCCTTCCTTGCTTCCTGGTACCTGGCACAGAACACTCTTCTCTCCAAAGAGAACAAAGAAAAGTCAAATTAACTATTGCTTCTCTCCAGCCTCCCACGCCTTGAGGGGCAGGTAGTGAGGGAGGAGGGGGTGGCCATTTACAAACCCAGCAGGCTTTCTCCCTGCTGAGGGTATAAATCTCAAGATGGTTAATCATTGAGACCAGCCCCTTGATGATCAATAAAATGTCAATAAACCCATTCGATGATATTCTTTTCAAGAGAGACTCAACAAGCCCAGCACAGAAACACAGCAACTCCAGGGTCCTATGAGCAGGAGGATTTTCAATCATCTCAATGGTGTTGATAAAGTGATTTGCCTCTTGGCGTGGATGCATCCTAGGTTTGGGGTGAGGACTCCTGGGGACCCCAAGGGAGATCCAGGAGGGCCAGCAAGAGCATCACGCAGTGAGCCTCACACATGTGCCCCACAGGGGTCCCCAAACCCAGACCATCCTGCACTGTCCTCACTACCCAGCAGACCACTGAGGTCTTGTCCCAACTCACCTACTGCTGTGGGGCTCTGGCAAATCAACAGCTTTAGCCAAATGCCCCAGTTTCCTCATCTGTTCAGAAACCTCTCCTCCCTGTGGGTTGCTGGGAGGATCAATGAGATGGAGCCGACAGAGGTCACGACAAGAGCTCAGGAAACACCTGCCGTGGCCGCTGTTGTGAACACATGGCCACGGGTCCCAGAGGGCTGTTAAGGTGATCGGGCAGCACCTGTCAGTGAGATGACGCGTACACCATGAAAAACTGACATGCTGACATACATGCACATGACTAAGGACTTTTGTCCCCTTGCCAGAGCCAGCCCTATGATCCTATCCAGAGGAATCCCTATGCTGGGATGGAAGTCACCCAGAATCACCATCGGTCACCAAATGATCTGCAACTCCATTTCCTCCTGCCCTTGACTGGCTCCCTCCTTCCCTCTCCCAGCAGACCCTGAGCCGGGTCCTCACCTGCCCTCTTCCTGCCCCAGAGCACATGTCTTGAGTTCCCAGGGCGCCCAGGAACACCCTTTGGCCCTCTCTCAGGAAGCATTTTGAACATCTCAAGTGCCCTGCTCCGGAAAACATCAAAGACAGGGCTTCCCATCCATCCCACCCTTAAGCCCAGTGACCTGTGGAAGTCCAAGTCCAGCCGCACAGTGCCTGGTGGACGCAGCCTGGAATCCCAGCTTTGATCAGCAACTGCCTGGCCCACCAGGCCCCTGCGCCCCAAATTCATTTCTCAGGCAGGTGAGATGGCTCCCCCAATGCAGGTGGCTGAGACAAATTATGCCAGGAATGTGCATATTTATCCCGCTCAATAAAGAATTACATCTCTACAGCCTCTTCCCCCATTTTATTCTGGGTTAATGGGTTAAACATTTTAATTTTAGAAATAATTGCCAACAATGGAATAGCACACACTGGCTCCATGTCGCACAGTTCACAATCTCCCCATGTACCAGGGCAGGAATATTTTTAGGCCCTGTTCAAGTTACCCACCCTGGCTGCAGATGAAATATTAATTAAAGGTTATACTTTCAGCCTCAGAAAATGATTACTCAAGATAGCAATTATATTTCCCCGTTTTTGTGTAATAAAACTGCACCTTGCTGTGAAGACGAATTAATAATTTTAAGCCCCGTTGTTACAGAGGCAGCATCAAAGCTGAAGGAGAAGGCATATGCCCGAGAGGGGAAACACAAACACGTTTAGACCCACAAAGAGAGTGGCTGACTTCAAAAGAGCAGGATTCTGTATTCAGGGCTGGGATCATTTCTCAAGGTCATTAATGGCTCTAGCTGTCTAAGACAGTGGCCCAATTACAAAGAATACAGAGACACAGAAATTAGAACAGAACATAGTTACAGCTCAGACTCCAAGTCGCTAGGAAGCTCTCATGGCCCGCAGCCTGGCATGTACCTGGAGCCCATCAGCCAACTCTTCCAGGTTCCTTCCAAGGGATTCGGACATCCGGGGCAGCCAACTGATTCAAGAGCTAACAGTTCTTAGCTTTCCAGGCAACTTCTACAATGAGAAGAAAAAAGACAGTTCAAGGCCTGGAATATAGCAAAGAGTAGCTGCCATTTACTGAGCACCAACTATGTCCCAGGCAAACTCAGTGAGACAAGAATTCCTATGTTCATTTTATAGATAAAAGCAGGAAAGTTCAGAAAGATTAAATGATTGGCCAGGGATAAACAGCAAATAGCAGAATTAGGATTCAAACCAACAGATCCACAATTCCACGAGGACTGGGCTGTGCCAGTCTCCTTTACTATTCTACCCCCAGGCTCCCTAGCATTGTGTCTGGCACACAGTAGGTGCTCAACAAATTTGACTTATTTAATGAATAACAATTGAACTACTGAACTGATCATCCATGCTTGGAAGACGAAACTGCTACTCAGCAAAAGAGACTTAAAAAAAATTGTCGTGACTTTAAATGAGTCTTAGCATTCAGGGGAGCGGGGTAGGTGGGGGAAAGGGTGAGCACGCAGCTGCGCACAGATCAGTCCAGCGGGCGCGCACCAGAACCACCCCCAACGAACACTCGAATGTTCCCCTAGAGGCATTGTCAAATATTTTCCATAAGACAAAATATGAAGTTAGTACATGAAATTAGCAGTATATGGTTTGAAATCCTTATGGCTTATGTTGTTATGTAACCATGTGACAATCAGGCATTTTTCACAAAGCCCCCTCAGGGAAACCTTCTGTGACCATGTCCCATCAGGCCCTGACCCTGAGGGAAGGTCCCACGGTCCTCCCTGCCCTTTAAGCATGAGAATGGAGCAGATGAGAACATCACAGCCTTCCTTTCTGGGACAAGATTGCAGGTGACACAGGAGCAGATATGTGGGCAGCTGTGCCTGCCTTGGACAGAGCAACAGGCCAGACCAACACGAGAGAATTTGCTGACGGGCTGCAGGTGGGCAGAGCTGCTGACGCAGGAAGCGTTGAGCTGCCCAGGGTCACCGAGGTGGGGTTTGAGGGCTTCCCCTTTGGAAAGGGGGAAGGAAGGGCTCCCAAGGGCCATGGCAGTGAGGAAAAGGGCCCCAGGAGGCCGGCTCCAGTGAGGATAGGGACTCCCAGTGGGATGGGAGGGCAGATGCCTGGGTGGAGAAATTCTTCAGGTCCGAGGATTCTTCTGGATGTTGCAGTACCTCTGTGTACAAGTCAGCAGCTGGGGGTATCCTCCATGATCTGGAAGCTGTGAGGAGGAGGAGAGGTTGTAGGGAGAGGCCGTTAGGAGACCCACCCTCCTACCTCAGGGAGCTCACTAGCTCTTCAAGCAAAGGGTTTGCTGGCACTCAGACTTCCTGCAAGCAGGCAGGCAGCACACCAGGAGTGCGGCCACCACCCAGCACCCAGGCTGGTGAGATGGCGGTGGATGCAGCCAGCGGGAGGGAACTCACCTCTCTTGAGTGTCCAGCAAGGCCGGCACTGTGCTAAGGGTGGAAGCCACAGCCCCTGCACTGAGGACCATGCAGGCCATGGGGAGGGCAAACACAGAAACAGACAAGCTTCCTGCAGCCTGAGTGCAGCCTGGGCCCCTCCACCCACCACCTCCTTCAGGGACTCAGCTGAAGTGTCCCTGAGGCACCTTCTAACCCTGCATCCTATGAGACTGCCTTATCAGCTCACCCTCTAGGATGAGGACTTCCTGGCAGAGACACAGATAAGCCAAGGCTGGGGCCACTGAGGAGAGGGAGGGCTGAGGGAGGCCAGATCTGAAGATGTGGGAGCCACAGCACAGGGACCCGGCACTGACCTGTGACCGCTGTGGATGCACCCTTCAGGTGCACCAGCTCAGCAGCACTGATCCGGAGAACTCTGGGGAGGCAGTGGGCAGCTCTCTGGCCCCCAAGGTCTACTTGCATGCTCCAATCCAGCGTGCTGGAACTCTGAAGGGGATCTGGGCCATGCTGCGGGATCCTTCCACTGTTTCAGGCATCACATTGAACCCTGGAGAAAGTTCCAGGCCTAGTTCTGGAAACTCCAGCACATCTCTGAATTTCTCAGGGCTTCAGTTTCTTCCACTGGTCTGCAAAGGGAAGGGGGCCAGCTCAGCGCCAAGGCATGATCTAGGTCTGACACTCTGTGATTCCATTTCATTTCTTTAAATCCCTTTTTAAAGGGATTTAAAGGCCCTACACTCACGGGATGGGCCCATCTTTTTTGCCCCAAGTCCTCACACTCCAGAGAAGGCATCTGAAGCAGTCTGCTCCTTCTGATGCAAAATAAATCCACGGACACTCATCCTCCCTGGGCACCCAGGCCCAGAGCCCAGAGAACAGTGGCTGCCTGGAGGCATCAACGCCACCAGCCTCTTACCCCCTCCACCTCCCTTTACGTCCTTCCCTAGGCTTGGCTGAGGAGGCAGCAGGGAAAAGAGGTGCAACTGCAGGAGAGAAGAGGAGGGCGGCGGACGCGGCTGGACCCAGGGGGCTGCAGGAGCTGGGACTCCGCACTGCAGGCTGGGAACTGCACTTTCAGCCTCAGCTGAAGCCCATGCGCAGAGTTCCTCAAGAAGCCTCTCAAGACCCTCACGGGCATCAGAGCATACTAGGTGCTGAGGACAATGGCCTGCAAGCTTCACATGACAAATTGAGGCCCTCTGTCCCCACTCTTCCAGCAAATTGAGGCCATTTTCCAGGAACGGTGAAGTCAAAGAAGCTGCTTTTTTCACATTACTCAGAAACAGGCAATGCCTCCAGTCACAGATGCCAGCCGTACACAGGGGCCGTTCTGAAGGCAGAGCCAGATGCACCACCAGTCCAGAAGCCCAGAGAAACTACAACCAGCGCTACCTCGGCTTGGGGAGCACGCACCTGGGGCTTCCTGGGGGACAGCCATTGTAGGAAAGGGGGCCTTTCCTTAGCCAGCATCCCTGCTTCTTCTTCCACCACCTTCCCTCTGTGGAGCTGCTCCCGGGAGACCTGGGGCCTCAGCCAGCATGGGCAGGAACTCCCAGAGGACACGGGAAGGACTTCTGCAATTCGGACTAGAGGTATGGGTGCCCCGCAGCACAGGGCCTATGAGGAGACAAGCAGCTCAGCTTCACAGGTGGAAGGAGGCACGCACTTCCTTCCAGGACAGCAACCTGAGTGGTTTGTCCCTGGCCTGGTCAGGTAGAGGTGGGGTGAGGCTGCTTCTGGGGAGGAGGGGCACCTCTGCCCAAGCCCCTTCTCAGGGGAGAAGACAGGCATCCTACACACCCACGTCCTCCATCCATGAACATTTACTGATCCCTCAGTAAGCTCCAGGCCCTGTGCTAGGGTTGGGGTGGGGGGATGGGATCAGGAGCTCATAGACCAGATAAGAGCAGAGAAAGCTGTAATTAAACTACCGGATGCCGAACAATGACCAGCCCAGGTCAGGGCACAGACCCGGGGCCTCTGCTTGAGCAGCAGAGGGCCTGCGGCTGGGGCTGAGCAGGGTTGCAGGGGAGTGAAAGGTCGAAGAGAGGGTGTGGCCGTGCGGGTCCCGCCTAGCCAGGCACGAGGGCACTCCAGGTGGGAATGTGCCACCCCAACCCCGGGCACCCCCCCCCCGGGAACCAGGCGCCCGGTGACACAGGCCGCCCTCTTTAAGGGCCTGGATTGAGGAAGTTGGGGTCAGAGCTCCAGACTGGAGTCCCTCTTGCTGAATTCCCCTTCCAGACATCAGAGGCAAAGAGGAACCCTCATTCAGAGACCACCTGCACCAGCGCTTCCGGGCTGGGTCAGAAAAACAGGTTGTCCTCGCCGCCCGCGCCGCGCTGGCGCCTGCAGCAGGTTCCTCTTCTGGGCCCTAGCACGCAGCCAGAGCTCCGGGGAGGGGAGTGCAGCCCGCGGGGGCGGGGCCAGTCGAAGCCCCGCCCATTGCCCTGATTCTGCCCCGCCCCCGCCCAGGCCTGCCCACTGCCGTGCCATGCCACGCCCCCTCCCGCTCCCCTCGCAGTGTTACATTCAAGGCCCTGCCCACCGCTCCTCCCACACTCTGGCCTCTGGGAGGGCCTCCAGGTTCACCTGCCCAGCCTCACCCCCCACCATTTGCTACTCTCCACACGCACCGCCTCACGCCTCCAGGCATCCAACCGGCCTGGCAGTCGCCTCTTTTTAAGTCCCTGTCATTGCTTAAGACCTTTCATCATTCCTGGGCCCGGGTATAATCTTCCTCTCTTCTAACAACCCCACCTCCAACCCCCGCCCCAGACCCTGGCAATCCTGCCAGCTGCTTTGACAGCTTCAGACAGACCCCTGTGGTCTCCACCCTGCGAGGCACTTTGGGGTCCTGAAGAAATATGTGTGGGGTGGCATGAGAGGGGCTCCTCCGTGACTCCCACTTCACATCAGGCCTTTCCCTGCAGAATTCCGTGAACCTCGAGGCTCCAGGACTCCCTCCCTCGCAGCAGGGCCCTGCCTCTGGATCAACGTTCCTCCGGGGGTGCCTGGAGAATCCTCCTTTATCTACAAGAACGCTGGTGGCTCCGGGACCTAGGCTTCCTTCAGAACGGCTCAGCTCGCACTCCGCACACCTACTGTGCGCTCTCTAGGCTGGACACCAGGAAAGCTCCACTCTGCTAAGCCTGTGAACTCTGGGGTCAATGAAACCCCAGGGTCAAACCCTGGCTCTGTGACCCTGAGAAAGTTGTCTGACTTCCCTGAGCCTCGGTTTCCTGAGCTACAAAATGGGAACAGGAATCGTTGTCTGTCTTGCACCCTTGTTACGATGACGGACGGCGTGGAGTGGGCTCTCAGTCTGAGGTCATGGAATACCCAGATCAGTGTGGGAATGAAGAGCACCAGCTCTGAACCAAATGACCGGAGCTCACACCCGGGCTCTGCCACCCACTGTTGAGTAACCTTGAACAAGTTTCCTCATCTTTCTCTGCCTCAGTTTTCTCATCTGTAGAATGGGCATAACGTGGTGCAGAGTTTCTACTAGGGAGGGATTAAAAACGGTCTGGAAATCAATAGTGGTGACGGCTGCACAACCTTATGAATATAATTCACATCCCTGGGTTGTGCACCTGAAATGGTGAAAATGGTTTTATATATTTTTCCACAATTTTTAAAAATTAATGTGCTATGAAGCAATGGATTGCACACTTTCAATAGGTGAATTGTATACTATGTTAATTTCTCTCAATACAACTGTTTTTAGAAAATGGTAAGAATGGAGATAATCATGCTACCTATCTCCAAGGCTCATGAGAGGAGATGGAATGAGTTCACACAGTGCTTAGAAGAGCTTACGACAGTGACCAGCATGGGGTGAACACTCAACTGGTGTCGACTGGCATATTAAATATACTTCATATGTCATCTCATTTCATCTCTGTAACAATTCTGTGGGTTAAAATATATTTTTCCTCATTTTATGGGTAAGAAAATTGACAATCAGAAACGTTAAGTCACTTTTGTGTGGAAGTGGCAGAGCCAGGATTCAAACCCCAGTTGTGTCTGATGCCACAGTTATTCCGGGTCTCGGGGAAGGTGTTGGGAAGGCACCCTGAGGCGAGAACACGGTGGCTCCCAGTGGCCAGCTTGGGGAGAAACAGCAGCAGCTACACCTGCAGGTGGGGGGTGGAGAAACAGGCTGCAGTGGGCAGTTGAGTGGGGGAGATGGGGGTGGGCGCAACTTCCCTGATCCATTTAGAACTGAAATGCCCCGCTCGCTAAACCACGAGCTCCCACTGTGGCCAGAGCACCTGAAATGCAGCAAGCACTTGAAACCCATCACCTTCCTGAGGAAGCAGAAGCACCACGGGGTTTGGGGATCTGTGAAAGTCTGGGTTTTCTGGGGCCTTTTTCATTTTGTTTTAGGATCCTTTTTAAAATTGTATTATTATTCAACCCACTCAGAAATGCCTGAACTTTCCACTTCCAAGTTGGCTGGAAATCACCTCACAGGGATGTCGCTAAGTGAAAATTAAAGTTCTTGACATTTGAGACGTCATCCTGCTCAGACACGAAACAAAAGGTCACCGGCATGAAGGTCAACCTGTGAACGGTGAGGTTCCCACAGCAACACCCAAGTAATACTGGATACCTCTGAGATCACTGCCATCAAGCCACAGCCCCCGGGGGATCCTAAGCAGGGGGCCTCCCACTTGGCTGGAAGAGCAGGAGAAGATTCTGGGCTCCGCAAGAGGGCTGGCAGCTATGGAGGCTACGTGGCCTGGGATGCTCCATTCCCCCTCGGGATGTCCAGCTGGGCTGGGCCGGCCTCTTCTGAAAATGGAACTCACATTTGACCCCTGGGGGAAGCCAGGGTCGGTCTGGGGGAGCCAAAGAGGTCCCCAAACCAGTCCAGGAGGCACAACAGGGACCTGGAGCCAGGGGATGGAGCAGTGGATTCAACGCCAAAGGGGCTGGGTTGATTCACTTGGTTCTCACGGCAGCCACCCAAAGCGAGGGCTGCAGAGGCTCACAGCCGGGGAGTAGCTAGAGCCACGGGGATGCCCGTGGGGCCGAAACATAGGGTGATGTCCAGGTGCAAGCGCTGCCAGAGGTGGCCTGCGCCGGCCTCACAGGGCAGCGAGGGGGTTCTGGGGTCAGGTCATGCGTCAGGAGCCAGAACAGCTCATGTCAAACCAAGACAAGGTG